CCCGAGTGCTGGGATTAAAGGCGTGCACCACCACCGCCAGGCGAAACTTACTATTTTTTTAAGTAACATTTGGATTCAAAAATACTTTACTACTGTTGAGTATTTAAAAATGTTCACTAAAATTCAGAAAAAGTAGCATGCAAAAAGAGTTGTTAAATTCAGATGAATAGTACTGTATTCTCTATAAAATCCTCTATGAGACTTATACAAAGCTAAGTGGAGTGGTACATGCCTGTAATCCTGGCTATTCAGAAGACTAAGACAGGAGAGTCACTTGAATTAAGGAGTTTGGAGTCAGACTTTTAGCTGACCTATCAGAAAAAAAATAAAAAATGGCCGCTTTGTAACTTCTTTTTGTTGTTATGTTTTTGTTTTTCGCTTTAGGTTGGAACTCATCGGGAAGATTCCGTCAGTCTCAATGGCAATCATTCTGTCCTGTCTAGTACTGTTGCTGCCTCAAACACAGACCTGAACCATAAAACACCAGAAAATTACAGAGGTAACTTTTGTCATTTTTCAGGCAGTACTGTAGAAACCCTTGGTATTCTGTCCATTTGAACCTTCGTCTGTGGATCAGACTCTTCCCATAGTAGTGTTACCCTGTGGATGCAAAGTGTCACTGTCTGCTGTTTATTCAGCCGTCTTGACTCTGAACCAAGTTAACTTTAAACTATGGTCCTTGTAACACTGGCTCCAAGTGACTGTCCTGGAACTAGCTCTTGTAGATCAGGCTGACCTCGAACTCACAGTGATCCGACTGCCTCTGCCTCCTGAGTGCTGGGATTGAAGGCATGTGCCACTACCACCCAGCTTCAGTATAGATTTATAAATAAATACAAATATCTAAGTAAGATTAAGACTGCTGACTTCTTGACCACTAGTTTCTGACAAGTTGTTCCTGTCTCTAAATTACGTACATTCCTTTACCTCCAGAATGTTTCATACAGCTCAAACCCTAAGTATATTTACCCTCCTGAAAGCTTTGAACCATCTTGATTGGAACATGGGAATCTAGATTTATATTTTATGTTTCCTTTCCATTGTGTTAGGTGGCTTGCAAAATCAGTCTGGAAATGTTGTTCCAACAGAAATCAAGACTGAAAACAAAGAAAAAGATGAGAACCTTCATGAGCCTCCTTCATCAGATGACATGAAGTCAGATGATGAGTCTTCCCAAAAAGACATCAAGGTCTCATCTCGAGGCAGAACAAGGTATGTTAGTGTCCAGCCCTTAAATCTCACATATTTGCCCTGGAGGAAAAAAAAAAAAACTTTGGGACAGCAAAGGGTGCTATGCATTAGTAACAGCCAACTACATTCCAGGTGCCAGGCTGTGATTTTTTTTTTTAATTTGTATTTACCTATTTCATCCTCACATCTCTAAAGAAGAAGGTATGTGAATGTCTGGCTGAAGGCATGATTTCACACCCCTTTATGTCTTCATATAGATATAGAAAGGAGCTGCTTCCCTTGTCTCAGTTGCTCATAGTGTGTGTGTGTGTGTGTGTGTGTGTGTGTGTGTATACACACATACATACATACAGTGAGAGAACAGGTTAAACTATTTGTTGTTTGTCAGCCAGTAAGTATTTGATATACTACAGAACTAAGTATATGGTAGAATCTAAATGTGGTTCATACAAGCACCAGCCTGTTGCTTATTATGTGGTATTATTGGAAACCACCATATGCTTTGGTTTTATGTCATCTGTGGCTGGGTTTGCTTTACATTGGCAGATTTGAGTAGTTGCCACAGATACCATTTGGCTCACAAAACAGGAAATATTTATCAAAACAGGAAATATTTATCATTTCTCTCCTCATAAAGGTTTGCTATTCCATGATTTCAGCAGTAATTTGAGAAAAATGTTAAAAAAAAAAAAAAAAAAAAAGGTTCCAGATAGAGTGATAGTCTCAGGAAGAGTTTTAAGTCAGTTACAATTGACTTGCTTTCAAACGTGAATTTGGACACATTAATACATGAGTTTCAAGTGATTTGTGTATCTTCCTTCAGATTTTTATTAAAGTTTTATATTAAAATTAGGTGATTTAGGTACTGAGGGCTGGAGAGATGGCTCAGTGGTTAAGAGCACTGACTGCTCTTCCAGAGGACCTGGGTTTAATTCCCTAACTCCAATTCCAGGGGATCCAACACCTTCACACAGACATCATGCAGGCAAAATACCAATGCATGTAAAATAAATAAATCTTTATTAAAAAAAAAAAGAAAAGAAAATATCTCAAAATAATTAGGTGATTTTTATGTGCATGTACATATATGTGGTTTTGTTTTTCAGACATTGTAGCTTAGGTTGTTCTTGAACTCATGATCCTCCTGCTTCAACCTTCCAAGTTGCTGAAGTACACACATGATTAGCCAAACCCAGCATGACTTAATGTATTTTCAGTGCATCTTATTTTATGAATCGTTTGTCAACAACATCTATCACATGCGGGTATTGATATTTAATATGTTTTTGTGTGTTACATTATATTACAAGGGAGACTTCAGTGGTGGGACTGAAAAAGCCAAGACCATCCTTTTCTTCCATTTACACAACTAACAAAGAGCTCCTTTGCCTTTGACATTCTCACTGCTTTCAAAGCCTAAATGTTTCTCTTGAGAAAAATGAATTTTTGCAATCCTGTGGTTTTAATATACGTCTTACTCATGTGAAGAATATAAATGAGAAAGTAAATTCAGTCGGAGAATTCTGAGACCACTTCTAGGCATCTTAACTTATAGTTTTATTATTCTGAACACATTTTAAGAAATAATTTATATCCTTTCTTCTCTCCATGTCCATTAGGAATCAATAAACTTTATACTCTAAAGATCCACTTACACTTTATGGGTCATGTTGTCCTTGTCACACCTACTCAATTGTTTGTAGCAACAAATAGCCAT